TATTTTACGTTGCATGCATTTTCGCTTAAAATTTATGCAACTAAAAATTGAATTTAAGATTATGATAAGACACAGTTTATTAATTTAATATCTCGTTAATTTTTTTTCGATGGGTATACAAGTATTATGTAACTATAATATTATAAATTATTTTTTTTCTTTATTATAATAAATAAATATATGATCATTGTAATAGTATTCTCAGATACTAATTGTTAAAAGATTGTTATATGTATCATATTATAAGCTAATAATTGTGTACCTACTTTAAATTTGATTTCTATGAAGAATAACAAATATAATAAAATTAAAACTAATGATAAAAATACTACAATGGTAATAAGTTTATATGTATTGTATTTAAATGTACTCACGATGACAGTGTATCTTATTAATATGAACAAAAAAAAAATGCATTCATGACGGCTGTGGTTGTCAGATATGCTGGGGAAAAAGTTCAGCTGCCTTTAGAAAATGGATTCACAAAGCCGTAAAAAACCGGTGATGTTGACGTTTTAACTTAAAATTTTTTTTATTAAAAACAAAATTCAGTTTTTTTTTTTTTTTACTATACTAGTTTTATACGTCACTGGCCGAGTACAACAACAAAAGCTGTATTGTATGAGTTTTTGACTGAATTATATCATAATGAATTAGAAAATCTCGGGCTAATTAACGGTCTGAAAATATTTAACTATAAAAATAGGTGTACATAAAACAAAAAAAAAAAAAAAAAACATTTTTAAGTCTGGTTTTGAAGTATAAATGTTTACTTCTTTCCTTTGAAAATCTCACACCTCACTTAAAGTCACATAAAATAAAGGTGATGAGTACTTCAACTCAGTTTTATGAAGTTAAGAACTTTTAACACGATTTAATCCAAACAGTTTGTATGCTTATGAAATGTGCTAATTCTTAAACGTGTTTTAAATCTAAATTGAATATTAATTTAATTATGTATTTCATGATAGAATTTAACATACATTTTGCAGTTATGAAGTTTTTTTGAAGTTTTTTTTTTTTTACTTAATTCTAGCCGTTGATTCAATTCTGTAAATAAATCACAGAGTTCACACGAATTAAGTAACTTCTTTAAAATTATTTATTATAAAGTTTTATCGAATTGTACGGACATGTGGATTTTGTCATTTTAAAATACCTCAGCATAAGTCACGTCTTTCAAAAACTTTTATTCGCTTCTACTTTTTCTCATCCCCTTTCATAAAATTTTTGACGTTGTAACGATTGATGTCGTCAAAGATCAACCTCCCCCGGGTTTAGGTTTTAAACCCAGTATTTTTATTCAGTTACAAAAGATAACGTAACCGAACGGCATGCACAAAAAGTATTGATTGGTTAGAACTACCTTCGTTCATACTCATATTTCCTGACGTGTTATTCAATTTTCGAACCACATCGGCTATTACTTGATTGAATCGAATGATTTTCCGAAAATGTTTAACGCGTTGGTCACAGCGAAAACGCACGTAAAAAGAAGTTCATCATCAGTGATTGGGGTAACAAAATAAAAAATAAAAATGTGAAAGAGCATTTACCATTTGTTCGTTTTCCCGCAAAGACCACCTCTGGCCTTAGAAATTGGCTCACGTTGTATAGGCATGTGCACGCACACATACACTTCTCTGATTCAATATCTTAAAACATTGACATTTGGGTGATGAGAGAGTGGGAATACGGAATATAAAAAGAAAAAAATGTCCGCGGAGGAAAAATAAATAAAAAACAACATTCAATAAAGCATTATTTCTATTCCTTACCTCTTCCTTCCGGAGTTTACTCGGTGGGTTGCAGAGCTATCGGAGTATACGTAAAGAAGAAAACTTTCAAGGATGTAAATAAGATGACGTGCAAAATATTGAGCTCCCTCGACACATTTTGTCAAAATCCCTATTGTGAATGACTTTACGGCACGAATGGGTCTTACGGAAATTTCTGTGTAATATTATATATAAGTTGTGTGAGAGAAGAGAGTACTACGTCGATAATATTGTAATGTATCAAAAAATCATCTGTTGAATCGGATAAAACTGTTGTATTTAATTATTGAATCATAGTGAATAAATTGTTTATGATTTATGCACGATAAATAGATGCCCTATAAATTACAATATTATACTGATTTACGACAATTATATTTACTTAAAGAGTAATTTTAGAAATGAGGACTGTGCGCAAATCATAAGTCGTGATATTGTTATAATGCGTTACGCATTACTTGAACTATAATCGAAAATATTTTTGTTCCAAGAGAATGTTGTGAATACGTCTTGATGTTTATTTATCTTTGATTTTGTTGTTGTTGTTGTTTTTTTTTTTTTATAACCATTCAACGTCCATCTACTTTAGTTGCTTAACTATTTACATTTTTAATTTGCGTTTGATGTGAGTGATGTACAAACGAAGAACGAAACTTAGTCGTTTCCAACCGTGTAATTAGAAATGTTTCTGATGTATAGAATTTGATGGATTTTTGTTCGGAAAGTTTAACTAACAGCTTTTAGAGCAAAATCATTTTTCAAGAGAATTATTTAAGAATATAAATGCACATTTTACAAGACTGATTTTAAAATACACTACGCATTTTCTTTAATTAATATATAATTACTTAATTTATGTACTCAAGTGTCTAGTAAACACTGTTGGATTTGCTTGAGACTACTACTGCATAACGTGTTCATTAAACATATTCAATTTCTTTACACTTGTATTACATGATTGTAGCAACCAACGACATCTGGTACAATGCATTGTCATCGTAGAAAATTATAATATTGGGTATTTATGTGATATTTTTTTATTTCAGCAGCGACATTAAATGTTGTCCTCTTTGGATATTATATTTCTTTTAGTCTGTTGTATTTTTATATGTGCATATAATGGCTCTTATTTTTGTAATGTACAATATTCTTCTAAAACAACTATCTAAATTTAAAACTAAAATAATCGTTTAATATAATATTCTAAAGAACAACAATATTTGATACGACTTTTGAATATAGTATGACATGAGTTACCACATAGTGTTTCTATAGCTGCCTAGATTTTTCTGATAAATTAATAAACTGTGTTTTTCGCACAATAATAATATGGCGTTTGCAAAATAAAATCGTTTTTATCTTTATCACTTATAATTTGTATGACGTGCTAGTAGTTTAAACTTTACACCTATAGCGCAGTATTATTTCGATACTAAAATATCTTCTAACGGCATTTTAATCGCCGTGAAACATTTGTATAATAATTATGGTGGCCTCTCTCTACCCGACCGTGTACCATTTCGTGAATAATATTTTCTACCCGTAATTTGTTTAAGTTGAACTGTATGTATATCATAAACGATATATTCTTCTGTTGTTTTTGTATACTATACGCCCAGACGAGTCATAAAACTTCTTCAATACTCGACGAAATTGAAAATAAAATATACCGCTTAAACAGACGGCTAAAACCGTACTGGAAATATATGATTACCCTCTCGATATTACCGGGTGTTGCCAAGCACACTGTAATAATAACGAGGTGCACACTCGTGTATGATAAATCGTTTTGGTTTGTATTTTTTTCTTTGTATTTTCGCTACATACGTTTGGGACGTCTTGCGCCGGAGTCAGGCAGTAGGGAGTTAGCCCGTGCACATATAATAATAATAATTGAAGGCGTTACTGCGCCCCGGGGACCGTTACGTACCCTCCGCACAGCCGTCCTTCTTTAATATATTCAGATGTGTTCGGCACTAATTTAACCCGAGAAAGGGAGAACTTTTTGGAAACCTTCTCAATCATAAATTAATTGACGAAACCAATTTAAACCGTAAAAATTCGTGCATATGTGCGTTTAATGCTTTTTGTTCTATCTAATCTTGTCCGATGAAACAATTTTATCTAGTTTATTTAAACTAATGATCATTACAGGCACGATGCCGTAACACTACATGTAGTGAGCATTTGCGCGCGCGTATGTGTGTGTGTGTGTGTGTGTGTGTGTATGTGTGTATGGTACAGTAAATTTTAAACTTTCTAGTGGGAACAAGTTTTTATCGTTCGAGTTCGGACCGTTGCGCTTCGTACGATCAAAGTTTGTTTCCGGCTAAGGTCTAAACATGCAGCCGCTAATAACTTACAGCATGTAACCTGCGAAAACAAACAAAAAATCTCTCAGGCCTCGTTGGTTTATAGAAATGTAAGCCATAACCTTTTAAAAACGTACGTTTCATACAATAAGCACGCAGCGTTGTTTCTGTTTGCATCATTTACGTGAAATCTTCCGTATCCTATTTCGATACGATTGTTTTTCTCGATTGTACAATGATTTTGTACACCGAAAAACTACAATACGCACTAAGAAAAAGTTTTGAAAGATGCAAATTAATGAACATTTTTGTTGATAACAGTTTTCGTAAGAACAACAATATGAATTTAAACATGAATAAATTTGAAAACGCAGAAACTAAGTCAGTATTGTGTAACAATTGAACACAATTATTTTCACATGTTATACTACATTATTAATTATAGATAGAATTATTTATATTATTCAGAAATATTAAGACATGTTAAGATCTCTGACACTAATAGTTTTTAGTTTTTAAATCAATAAATTAGTTCAGCCCATAGTGGATAACGGTATATAAACGCATTCTGTTATAATGGTTCTCGAATTTAACGAAACAAATATTTCTTTGTGTAAAATATTTTTTTTGATATGTATTCTCTAATAAAACAGTTGAAAGATAAATAAATAAAAACTAACATTGATCTACAATTTGCATAACATGATAAATTATTTCGGTTTAACACTATACGACGGTTGATTAACATTTAGAAATGTAATAGGTGCCTAATGTAATTGTATTGTTGTACCTACCTATATGTATATATATATATATATATATATCTCACGGGCCACCTCGGAGAAGAACGTGCCTTAATCTCCTCATCAGTGTGGGCATAAATTTACGGTCGTTTGTTTGTCTGTTACAGATCACGTGCGAGAGTTATCCTGCGGCCGAATGTACTACAGGACTTTTCACTTGGATGAAAATCGTGACACATTATACGTCGGTGCCATGTAAGTTTCATTTGTCATTCTCACACACGCTGCTCCTATTTTTCGCCCCCCCCCCCCAAACACCATTGACCGGCCATTTTTTTCAAGTGACAGGTATATATGTACTGTACATAGTGTAAAGTGTATACAAGACTCAGCATCGTAGAGATATATAATTTTTACCTTATGAAATGCCGCTCAACAGGTCCAGAATATTAAATAATACTTAATGAGACGTATTTTTTAATTTTTAAACACAAAACCATAAGGTCAAAAGTAAGGTTAAGTACATTACATTGTTGAGTTTCCCGTTTGTATTTATAAGCTTTATGGCCGCGTCACAAAAACACAATTACTATGTTATATTATTATATATTGCTTAAATACTAGTAAAAGTCACACATACACCTCGCACATAATTTTATATTACTCTAAAGTGTTGTCGACGTGTATAATAAAAATTCGTGCGCTACACCATCGAATAAAATACATTTTTTTTTTGTTTTTGTTACCACATTAATTCTCGTTTTTAACATTTATTTTCTTTGAAAATTGCACTACACGCTATGAATAAAATATTTGGTTTGATTTATTAATTTTTTTTTCATTTTTTTTCGCACGATGACGCCATGAACGTATCATGCCGCACCTCATAAAATGATATAAATTAATAATCATATAATAATATGCGTATAACAATAATAGTACGTGTACCTATGCATTTCGCACCACCAATATGATTAATTACAGTTACGCCTTCGTTTTTCTGTTTTTCAAACATAGGTTATTCATGAATGAATAGAACACGGTAGTAATTCATTACACCTATTTAACGTTTTTAAAATCCGTTTCATGTTGAACGATTATTGCCGTCTGCGAATAATACGCAATAGGTACGGTTTTTGTTAGTCGTTTCCGTATACAATTCGATTATTTAATAGAACGATATGCAGATCGGGTTTGATTTTTTTATGATTTTGGTTTTATCTTAGTTTAACTATGTATAATATCATAATAAATTGTTATTATTATTATTATTATTATTATCACCATCGTAAATATACACGATGAGAATGTGATGATCATCTTCATCACCTCCGCCCATCCCAATTCAAACAGCTGAATGTAATTTTAGAAAAATCCATTTTATGCGTCCGTTTGTGTTTGTTCTTGTCTTTCATTTTTTTCTTTATTGTCTAAAGCGAAAATTTCAATAATCTGAATTCCCTATTGGATCGCACGGATACGAACGCTGCAGTCTCATGCGTTTGCTTAACGATACGTGACGTTACCGCAGGAAACTGAAATATTATTCCCGGTGTGCTGCGACGTCGTAGTTGACGGAGGCTGCATGGCGGACCAATGGAGGGGAGTAGGACATCTGTTACGACTTTGCTACCCGCCACCGCCGCCTCCACCGTTTGTCGCTGTGTATAATATTATATAATATATTATTATATGTTTGTGAACGTGTGTGTATGCGTGTGCACGCAGGATTATACCTCAGGGTCATTGGTTTCCTAGCACGCGCCACGCAGTTTCCGTTTCGATAATAATTTCGCGTTTCCTTTTTGTGGGTTGGAGACTACCGTCGAAAATCCCCTTTTATCCGGGGAACCGGTCACCGGTGATGACGCGGAAAGAGAAGAAACGAAATAAACGTTGGTCGTTTATCGTATATTTTACCTCACCAATCCGTTTTTTTGTTTTGTTAATTTCTTTCATTATTTTTTTTTTTTTTTTTGAACGTGCAATAAAAATTTCAACACGAAAAGGTCACCAAAGTCTAAATTTACCATTAGTGTTTTTAACAATATATACGACACAGCTCATCGTGCACCCTATCGTGGTTCATATATACGGCGGTGCGATAAAGAAAACCCCTACAAAGCATCTCATTACTGAAGAAAATCGATCTGCCCGCGCGTGTATATTATATAGGCGCATATTATATTATATGCAGAGAACGTTTTTTAATAATTATTTATGTCGATGAAATAAGTCGCTATTACACGCATAAGTAGTATTAGTAACAGCAGCAGCAGCAGCAGTCTAGTGAAGGTGACGGCGGTGGTAATCTACCGAAGGCGTATGTATATAATATGTATAGTGTATTATATTTCTATACGCATTATCCTTCGTGCTATATAGTCCATTTTTATAAACATAAAAAAAAAATAATAATAATAACGTCGTCATCCTTAAATTTATAATATGTGGCACCGATAGCGTTTCGTGATCAAATAAAAAAAGAGTCAACCTCGATAAAATTTAAAAAGAAAAAAAATCGCTTATGCCAACCATTCAAACGATTTACCTTGCAAGAAAATGTACACAAACTTCCTACATCACTTATACTGTATACCCGTGTAATAACAAAATAATTCTTTTTACTATAATATTTTACCGTACTCTAAATAAAGGTATATAGATAGTTGAACTATGTTGCAGAATGATTAGGTACTATGTTTTATCTTTAGGCCAAAAACTTATTACCTCCATTAGACATTTCATTATAACGCAATATTTTAAACGAGAATGTAGTTTGTAGTTAAAAATATCACCGAACGTTCATTAATTTTAAATGGGTTATATATGTATCATATATGTTTAGGGGATAATGAGAATACATTGGGCGAAATTTAACATTATGATAATGTGGTCGTAACACGATTTCTCCAATATTAATGCTTTGCCATCCAGAGTACAACGCCAACAAATCAGATATTATTATAATGTTATAATAATAATACATACGTATGCTAATGAATTTCCTTAAAACCACAGGTATAAAATATTTTATCGTTGTAGATAAATATATTTTTTTATACTCACAAATCGGTTATTCTTTTTTATTTCATCCTCAAACTGTGGTTATGTGAAAGCGAGTCAATACTTTATCTCTATTTGCCCGTTTAGATCTCAATAGCCTCCTTGATATTTATCCTTAATTTGTGATCGCGTGACTTAGTTTTTGTGCAAATGATAAGTAAACAGTGTTTACATAACATTAATTGACACTTGAATTTATGAAAGCACGCTCGCTTTCTACGATGGTATAAATAATTCCAATTTAAAAGTCAATACCAAACATGATTATTAGATAAGAAGCAATAAATTAATATCCCATATTATATTAAGTCTTAATAGACATCGTTTAAATTGTAACAATTAAATTTGATAGATTTAAATTATTGACGCATAAAAATGTCCAATAATAATTAATTTCACGCTATCGGTTCTATTAATATTTTGTGAACTATACACAATAAGGAAACATATTACATAATACTGTCAGAAAAATTGCATGAATTTAGAACCTTATTATTATTTTATATGGACCATAAAGTAGATAGTTATTTGTTTGTTGTTCTTATTTTTAATGTTACGACTTTGAGAATTTTAGTGGCATTTGAGATAATATTAACGGCCATTCAAGTAAACACATCGAGGTTTTTATAGCTTAGTTTATTTCCACTGTGCTCTTTGTTTTACGCCCATACCGCTCTTCCAAAAAAGGGGTATTTTCTCCGTTTTCTCTCCGGGTTTCCTTCCAGTTGGCTCAATTTCATGCGATTAAGATAATACACGAGCTTGACAAAGTATTGCATAAACTGGCCGTTCCTTTAGCCTGGGAAACTGCACATTACGATCTGACAGATTTTGACAGACACGGTCGGGTTGCTGCCCCCTGAGCTCAGTGCTTACGCTAAAAGTGTTCTTATTCTCTTGGAGCTTAGGATATTAAATATCATCATGTGACCAGTAAAATACTGAAATATCGGGTTAATTACGTTATATTTAATCCGTAAATGAGATAATTTTGAGATAATTAAATAAATATATTTATATTATTATTTAACCAAATTAATTTGACAATATTAAACTAAAAAGAAAATTAAAAATTGTTCTAATTGCATCATATTAATCGTCTAACTTTTATGGTATGCATAAATATTATCGTAGTTAAAAAAAAACCTGATTAAATAATAATATAATATTAAACTTTATCATAGTGAGGTTTTATGTTAATTGATAAATGACTGTAATCGACGACAAACTGACCGAAAAAACAAAAAACTTTTTCTGAACTTATTAAAATTGGAAAGAATGAGTCACACCGAGCATTTGGTTTAATGCCAAAAATCAGTCAATCCGGATTTCCTGTGGCATAGAAAACGCTTTAAAAGGACGGAACGATGGATGTTTGGGTTCCCTATTCACGCGCACGATAAGTCTGTGGGTCGTAAAATAAACGCCATTTGCGATAAAAGTTCTTGCGTTAAAAACTTTATTTTATTATATATATATTTTTTTTTAATACTTTCGTCTCCTTGTCCTCTTTCCCGAGTTTTGGTCACACCGGAAACGGAAGGTCCGGTTCCCGTTGACCGCTACAGATTTATTATTGTACATTCTCCTTGCTCTTATGTACAGTTGACTCTTCGGAAATACACTTGGTCGACCCTTTTTTGGATCAATCTGAATTTCTAGACCAGTGTACCAGTGAATGGGGAGCAAGAGCCACAACGCATCCTGTTAAGAGGAGGGGGACGAAGAGATAACCAGAAAAGTTTTTTTTTCAACTTTTTCTTATGTAACACTATTGTTTCGGATATAAAATGGTATATTTGTTTTTTTTCGTATTCTATATCTAAGTCTCACTTAAACAACGGCAAGTTTAATCGAAAGACGTAACAAAAAAAAGTAAAAGAAACTAAATGTTTATCTCTTCTATTTTTTTCCACTTAAATAATATTTAATGGGCCTCAAGTTATTATTTCAAAAAGTCTATCCCTAAAATGTGTTAGGAATTTTTGTTCATTACTTAACAAATTGTCAAAATGGTTTCTTGTATAACAACAAAAAAAAATATTAAATTTTACTGACTTAAAAATAAAATAAGCATGCATTTTTTTATTATAAATCAACAATTTATAATATAAATATTTAGTTAAATCTAACCTTATTAGAACCTGATACACAAAGAGAAATTATTGAATTACTTTTACAACTATTGT